TTTAAAAATCATTGCATAGGCTGTTTATCTGTTCAACACAAAAAATATATCTACATTGTCACTGTACAACACAGTAGAGCATTCATCACTGTTGGGTGCTAAACTGGCCTAGCTGAAAGCATAACCAAATTCATTCTCGAATGAGTAATGGCACTTGAAAATTATCTCACTTTTCCTTTTAATGTACTTGATCTGTAATGGCTTTTCTTCAGTTACCAGAACAGCAATTTTACCCTTAGATTTGCCTCTACAAGTCTTTGAAAAATAATAGGATGAAATCTCTGAGCGAGCAACTCTTGAAAAGGTTTCAAAATCTCGCAACACACGACCAATATTAGTAAATGTAATAACAACTTCCTTTTCACTCTGCTGGAGCATAATTCCAAACGATGTGCTTGATTTCAATACGACTTCCTTCATTAGTGAAAACAAACTCTATGACAAGTACCTTGTAAGCTCAACCGTCTAAGCATTTCGAGCCTTCATCCTGGGTGATAAACACCTACGAATGATTTTTAACCACTCGCATACTTCCTCAGCAATGAGTGAACCAACAATAATAGTAGAGCTTAAGATTCGCTCTTGGATCACTCGATGTTTTTCCCATTTACCAAAGAGGGAAGTGAGTGATCGAGTTGACTCCTCCTCAAAAGCAACAAAATTTGCCGTTTGATTGCGTAGGGACCATAACTCTCGCACAGCAGAATCAATTGCTTCGGCCGGATTAGTTATGATGACCTGTGCATCTTCATTATCTGATAAATCGGCCTCATCAGCCAATATATTTTGTAAAACTTCATCAGATGTAAAATATTTCTGCTCAGACTTTTCCGCAATCGTGAAAATTTTGGCAGTAGACCGCTGACATTTCGAAAACGAACAGTCGTCTCCCAAATGCTACTTGAGCTCTTCTGCTGACCCGGCGTGTAAGACGTTAGCCTTAATTTGTTATGTAAATCAGTAATGTAAATCGAAAAAATGATTTTATAAATGCCGGAATAAAACGGAGGTCACTCAACCGTAAACCTAACCTAGTACTGCCATATTAGATATAATGTAACAAAAACAAATATTATTACTTTTGGAGAACATGTAAATAGACATAGACGTAATATTCAACAAACATGCTGGACCCCTTATGGAAAACAGAATAAGGACAAGTTGTCATCTGAATACGCTGGCATTCGTCTAAGTGGAAATTTTTCGAGTAACAAAGCGTGCACTGGAGATGGCACGAAAAGGCAAGGCAGTAGTATCAAGTTTGATGAGCGCAGGAGTTTGTCCTGCCGGTTTAAATCCAATTTGTGGAATTAACATATGGACAACACTTTGTTAGCCGACAATGTTATTCGGACGTGAGTTGTGGAGTAACATCACAAAAACTGAGTATCACATACTTGAACGAGTGAATCGTTTTGCAGCAAAGCGGGCTCAAAGTTTTGCACCATCAACGCAATCAGAATCCGCACTTGGAAGTTGGGGACTATGGACAATTGAGGGACATGTCGATAAAGTACAACTGATGTTTCTTCATAAATTATTATCATTGACACCAACAAATGTGGACAAAATTATATTTGTTGCTTGTGTGATGTTACTCTGAGTGTATATCCACACCGGGCAGGCTTGAAAAATATGTCTGGCCACGGTGGGATTCGACCCTACAACCTTCGAAATACTAGCCAATGCTCTGCCAACTGAGCTACGCGGTCAAGTCGGTAAGAGTATGCGAGATTTCGGAACAGAGTCTAGTTCCTTCGATATCAGTCTAATCTAATAATCATGATATTTGCTGTGTTGGTGTAATGTACTCAGGTGAATAAGATGCTTGTGTGATGTTACTCTGAGTGTACATCTACACTGGGCAGGCTTGAAAATATGCGCCTGGTCACGGTGTGATTCGAACCTACAACCTTTGGAATGCTAGCCCAAATGCTTTGCCAACTGAGCTACGCGGTCAAGTCGGTTCGAGTATGCGATATTTCGGAACAAAGTCTAGTTCGGAACTAAACTTAATGAAAGTTTTCCTGCTATGTTCTTGTAACAACACCGCAAAACTTGAATAATGTATGTAATATTAATCTCAGTGTTCTGGAGAAAGCTCAATAAAAGTATATTTTAATTCGGGGGTCTTTCATTCATTATAATTAACCTCTTTGACTTGATTACTGGCATAGGTAAGTTATTCAACAGCTTTCTGGGTCAAATCTATACCAGCAATCCGACTTATATGACGAAAAAGAAATAAAAAACCCTTAGTTCAGTAGATGTTGAATGCAAATTTCTTATAAGCATGCACAATTAAATTCGTTCGAGTTTCGCAATGACTCCCGTCGCTAACTTGCGGACAGAATTCAGTAGTTTTGGTTTGACGCTGTTGATTAAGTAGCTACATAGTTCATCGACCGTAAATTGTAAATTTGTGTTAGTAGAATGAAATAGATAACGAAAACTTTAACTGGTATGACACTTTTTCAGCAAATGCAGTTTATTACTCTACATTCTGTGTACAACATTTAGGTTGTTATACGTAGCATGATCTGATATATATGATTTGCCCTTTGCAAACCTTAAACTCTAAACCTTAAACTCTAAACTCTAACCGCGCAAAGCTTAATGGGAGCACAAGTTTCAAGCTTAGCAGTTGAATATCGCTGAATATCGTTGAATATCGCTAATAAGGGGATATTTACTATGCAATTTTCTGTTTACCCCATATATGATTTCTAAACTGTTTAAATGATGCTCCCATTATGCTTTGCACGCTTAAAGTTTAAGGTTAAGGTTTAGAGTTTAAGGTTTGGAAAGGACAACTTTTTTTTTAATTAGCTGTATGTATACGGGAATTGACTAAGGCCCGTTTTATACATCGGATTTTGGACGCGTTGAATACAATTAAGACAATATAGACTGATGAGGTGATAAACCTCATTAAGTTTTATTGTTTGAATTGCATTCGATTCTACCGAAATACGACGTATAAAACAGGCCATAACTGCATGATAGTTATAGCCAGAGAAATGTTTCATCGATGATGAGATAAGAAAGCACAGGGAAATTGCATCGATATTTTATCTACAACGCACCTATTTCTCTAATTCCTAAGTGGAAATGAAAATCGTCTTTGAGCATTTTTGGTAACTGAATTCTTAATTAGATATTGTGAGTTGTATTAAGAAACTCCCACTGTCAGACGATGGCCAATGTTTGATTGGAAATTAATTCTGGCTTTTAGTTTCGATCTACAGCGGTAGCTATGTAATACTATTCATTTTCAATCGAAATTTCGCCGATTGTTAATCCGAACTGAATGTACTGTAGTACCAGAATAAATGACAAATTAAGCTGTATTATACCAGCTACTGTATATATATATAGTATACAGTACGCAAAAGTGTATATGATATAGTATAATACCTGAAATTCTTCTTGAACTTGTTTTCTGAGAGTGTTATATTGCGCGGATCGGAGTCCAGTGAACTTGACCCTTCTGTATGCAGTTCAGATTGATATGCGACAGACAGAAAAAAGAAACTGCCGTTCAAATTTGTATTCAAGTTTAATTTGTCGGAAAAGCGGCTCAACCGTGTTTGTATTTTGCATATATATTAATTTTAATCATCTTTATCTGACGCCCCCGCTGCTTGCTTTCAAAAAGGAGCACGGATATTAAGTTTCCAAATAGATTTTTTATAACTTGGACGGTTCTAAAATATTGCCAAGGAAAAACCATATGGGTTTATGGGTCCGCGATTCCACCAGCCCTTACAAAGTCTGCTATCTATCCAAATGTTTTCATAATTGCCCTAGTAAATAGCGGAGGAAGTTATTTCGCTGACCTCAAGATGACATTTCGTCAAAACCTTTTTTTCAAGATTGGTCGGGTTAGAAACAAGGGTTAGCGTTAGCGTTAGCGTTAGCGTTAGCGTTAGCGTTAGCGTTAGCGTTAGGAATAAGGTTAGTGGTTAGAGTTGGTGTTCGGATATATGTAGTGTTAGTAAAACCGTTTCTTTTTTACGTTTTGTCTCTCTGCAGCAGGCCAACGAAATAACCTCTTCCTAATATAGCAGCTAATTTTAAAACGGCGGCCATTAAAGAATAGCGAGAGCTTTCGTTGCTGAGTACGAAAACGATTTATACAGTAATACTTTAGCCGGTTTGTTTTCGGCCAAAATTTGTATGAAGATTGGCGAAGATTGGCGCGAGTATTGTGGTGTCGTGAATGATTGTTATTTTTTCAGGATTTTAATTAGCTAACTGAATGCGTTTTCATTGTCATGTAACTATATTTTGTATATAAAAAGAAGTAATGTAATATATTTTTTGAAATTTAAACTTGAGTATTGGTGGCCTTATAATCTTGACCATATATTGCAATGTGTAACATTAGGACCCGCACAATGTGTGAAAGAATAAGGCAAAAGATGCTGCTTTCAACAGTGTTGTAGAGCCAGATGTTTAAGGCCAGACGCAAATGTAAGTCCATTAGAAAACCAGATGTTTGAGGCTAGATGCAAATGTAATTAGATAGGCAAATGCAAATTTAATTTAACAATGTAGGTTTTGACGCTGGGATTAAATATTCATAACTCAGGTAATAGTCTACTGAATAGAAAACATGAAGCGTATATCATCTAATATTGGCTGGAATGGTCTCAAGGATTTTATTTAAGATTGTAGAAGGCAAATATCTATGCATATATTTATTGCACAGCAACTTAAATTATTTAAAATACACAACACTGTAATAGGCAAATATTGAAATGATAAATATTTTTGAGATTCGTATTCAATATACACGGCTTAGTATATAATATACTAAGAAACAATGCACGAGGTTGATGACACACGATTGTAACAACTACAGATATATCATGACTGTATCGGGCTTGTTGCAAAGAACTAGCAAAAAGTTTGACAATATCTACAGACTTGTCACAATCTGTTAACAGCTTTGAATAAGCTTGTTCATGTGATGAAACTTGTTCAAAGGTTGCTTGTGATGTTACTCTGAGTGTATATCCACACCGGGAAGGATTGAAAAATATGCCTGGCCACGGTGGGAATCGAACCTACGACATTTGGAATACTAGCCCAATGCTCTGCCAACTGAGCCACGCGGTCAGGTCGTTTCGAGTATGCGATATTTCGGAACTGAGTCTATAGTTCCTTTGATATCAGTGCACAGTAAAATTCAGAGGGTGAAATTCACCCCAGTTAAGGTCAAAATTTACTCGCTCGGGGAGAGTAACAATCTATGGGGTGGAAACTACCCTATATCTAGGGTAACAATTACACCATTGAATGACTTCGATGAGTAAAATTTCGTGATGGGTAAAACTTACCCCCTTAAAAGAGTAAAGCGCTCTTTTATCCGGGGTGAAATTTTGCTGGGGTAATATCGGGGAATATTTACTCTG